AGTAGGAGGGTAACATAGTAATATATAATATGTCTGGGATCAGAGCGGGCAGCCGTTTCTTGCGAGAGGAGCGAGAGCGGGCAGATGTGTACAGGCACCGACAGACACAGAATGATTGATCAAGAGGTTGACCAAGGAGTCGTGACTGATCGACTGATCGACTGATCGGTCGATCGAACGATTGACCGATTTGACGGACTGAGACTGACATGGCACGGCGACTCCGATCGAGAACACGGTCACAACGTCGCAGGCCACCTGCTGGCACACAAACAAACACACGGACAGGTTAGTCACCACCACACACCAGATATGTTGGATTAACACTGAGTAAACGTGCACGGTGACGAGAAGACGATAGCGACATTGGACACCGAAATTTCTTTTTTTTTTACAATAGACCAACTTTTCTTTTTTTACACAACACACGGTTTTACGTTCTGCTGGTTCTTCTCCCCCTTTTTCCACTGATCTTCCGGATTTCGTACTTTTTCCACTACTGTCTTTTCCCGAGAATGTTCCGAACTTATAGAATCGACAATACAGACGAAAAGAGGTAGTGACGTAAAATGATTTCTATGGACCAGCGAGTTCGTGTATCGAGGGAGTTGGCGTTTCGCGATTCGTCAGGAAATTGTTACGCACCGTGCAACGTATACACAGGTAATTTGTCGGTACGTCGTTTATAGGTAGAAGCGACAAGAATCTGGTTTTTATCAATTTTGTAAATTTTAATTTCAAAAAAGTAATAATATGATCAAGAATAGAAGATTAATATTAAAACTGAACATTAGTTTAGTTACTCTTTTTATGCTTACTTCAGTTTTATTCGATTCTCGTTGCTTCTTTCGCATCGTAATGGTTCATCGATGTCTGTTCATTCCATAAATAAGTAAATAAATAAAATTGCATTCAAGACAGACTTTTAATTACTGAAATATTTCATCGAAGAACAGAATCGACGAACCATTCTATTTGGCATAATGGTGCCTGACGTCTGACGATATCCCAGAAAAAAAAGAACACACGGCGATGTTAGTACTAACAACTAAAGAAGCGTCATAGCGTAAATTAACCATCAAATTTCTAGATATTACTGTCACGATAGAACATTCCAAGTTCTGTGTACCTTGTGTACAAATAAAAAAAAAAGCAATAACAAGGAACTAACTGTCGCGTTTGCAATTAATAATAATAATAATAATAATAATAAAAAACATAGTGGCGTAATCAGAAAATTAAAGAAATTAGTGAGGTAGACCGTTGGTGGTTGTCTTTCATAGCTACCTTATGCTGGTAGGACAATGAACAAATAATAATCGATGGAGTCACAGAAGAGAGATAAATATAACGTTTAAAGAAACAAAGGGAATAAGAGAAGAAAATCTGTAAAAAAAAAAAAGTAAAACAAATATATAAAAATGAACAACAACAAAAGTAATGTTTAGTTAAATAACTTAGCGTTGCGTGAGAAAAAAACTTAAAGCGAGCTACTTATAGTACTCTCTCATATCCTGAGAAGAAGCTACACAGTGAATTTGTTAGTGAAACTTTACGTTTACGTAGTTTCCACTTTGTGCACAAAAGTTACCACAGAAAGCTTGATTGGCAGCCGTTTGCAACGAAATGAATTTTGATTACACCACTGGCGTGAAGAAGGGGGCTGGTGGGGGCAGTAGAGGGGGCTGAAAGGGCAAGGCTTGCACTTTCGAGAATATCGGGGGATTAACACCGATATAATAAGGGAACATATTTTTATCCCCGGTTTTAGTACGACGCGATTAAATGTATATATATATCGTTGGAGATTTACTTTCATACGTTCATAGATAATTTGTACTTGATACGCGCGAGAAAAAAAGTGCTCGTTTCAAGATGCTGTACACGAAGAAATATCAAATTTTGACAGATCGATTTTGGAGTATGACGTACTGAGTGTCTCTATGATAAACGATCAAATTTAGAAATTAAAAGGTCAGCACATTCTATACAGGGTGGTGGTAAATTTGAAAGGTGAATCTATAAACTAAACTAAGGTAGACATCAACAATAACAAAATTGCGTTTGAGGTTATGTTTCTTAGTTAACCTAACCTTTAAAAATCGGCTGAAATATCCCTGTGGTCGAGTAAACTTCTCTGTACCAACGATATATGGTCGGTAACTTACCTTGCACAAGTTGTAGAGGAGAATGCAGTGATATTTAGCGTTGTAAAAGACATTATCGATTTCTGCGACACTACCGATTGCTTCATTACAACACAGGTGCATGTCTGAAAGTTCTTCAAATGTGTATTCCATTGTATACTGTAATATTATAACAAACACAAGGTACACTATGCACACAACACAACGATACACACAAATCACTGAAAAACAATCACTGTACACTGCAGTATTCACATACCCATGCGTGCGTACCGAGTGAAAACTAGCGAAAGACAAAGAAAATAAAAAAAAAACTAAATAAAGATGAATTAAATTTATATTAAAACTACACTAAAATGTAGTTTTAACATAGATTTAATTAATATTTTTTGTTTTTTTTTTTTAATTTTCTTTATCTTTCGTTAGTTTCTATTTCGTGCGAACGCGTGTGTATGTGAATAGTGTAGTGTAGAAATCGGTAATGTCGTTTGCAACGCTGAATGTTACTGTCTTCTTCTCTACGATTTGTACGAGGTAAGTTGCCGACCACATGTCGTTGATTTTGAGAATCACTGTACACCCTGTGTCTCGACGTGCCCTACATTCGTTAGTGTCAGGTGGGTTGCTCGACCACAGGGGTATTTTTAAGTATTATTTTTAAAGATTAAACGCAATTTTGTTATGGTTCATTTTCGTCTTAGTTGCTCTCACCACCCTGTATAACTATTTTCTTATTTTTATTCATAGAGAGCAAATCGGTGCAATTGACTCGTATAATTTCGAGGCAAACAACCTTCACGATTTTATTCTCAAAGTCAAATTTATTCAAGAATAAAAAAGTATCGTCTATAGTATTGCTCTGCATTAATACTCGTCGGCAAAATTAAGGGATCACGAAATTTTCGCCCGGAAAATTGTCCATATTTGAACTGTTACAACTTCGTGAAAAAAAATCGTACAATAATCTGTCTGTGGTCGTTTTAAGGGGCGAAGCTTCTACCTTAACCTTAGTAACTTGATTTTCTTCGAAGATGCTTTCGAAAAGCACCTTCGAGGAAAATCAACTTAGCGAGGTGAAAGTAGAGGATTCGCCCTTCAAAATGACCACAAGTGGATTATTGTATATACAGGCTATCCTGTGTTACTTGTGATACTTTTTTCATATAAATATAGTACAACAAAAAGTGACACGTTACAAATATGCAAATTCACGTTTGTATGAACATTAAATACTTGTAATAAAAACATAGTTAAGAAGTGATCAATATTCAGGCAAAACGAGATAAATAAATAATGTCCAATGTCATACCCGTACTACTTGTCGCGTGTTTTCTCCGTGTACAGATTCAGTGGTGACAGTGCTTAGAAAGTTGTCGGTCAAGAAACTGAACGCATGTTACAGAAAGATTCTCAACCGTCTGCGTGTTAATTGAACACATAAGCAGCAATATTTTCACTGGTCTTGCTTCGAAAAGTATTGCAATAGAAACAACAAAAAAAAAGAAAGAAAAATTGTAAAAGGTGTAAAAAATTCTTCGTATTTTATCGTCCCGAAAAAAGAACAATGATAGACGACGAAAAATTTAAAGAGTCACCACTGGGTTCCGTAAAAGCAGAACTATGTCACTTGTAACTTTCATTGGATTTTTAGGTGCGAGGTATCGATTTTGAAGAGCGACGCGGTAATGAAAAAAATACGCCTTATCACGAGACATACAAATACAATAACCAGATAAAAATGAGAAAAAAGACAGGTAGTCTTCTGGATACAAGAATATTAGAATTATGTATACGTAGGTATATTTGGACGGACTGACACAGGTAGAGAACCCTGAAACTCTAAATAGAATTAGATCTTGTTTGAAGCTTGGTTAAACATCTCCAAAAAAAAAAAAAAAAAGAAAGTATATGTATATATAGAAAGCTTTCCCTAATTGCGTCCTGATTCCTCGGGAAGAACAGCTCTGATAGTATAATAAGTCTTCAATATTATCACAGCCTCGTTTCGAAGATAACTTTATAACCGTAGCCTTCAAATGAAGATTGGTTTCTTTGGCATCTAAACGCGGACAAGAAACACACACTATATAAAAGGTTTCTTCAACACCTTCTTAAAGAATACTGCTTGACTAGAGATGATTTGTTGCAAGCAAATATGCCTGCTTGGCTACTCTGGTCGAATGGAAAGGAGCCTAAACCATTTATCTATCTATTCAGACTTGAGGAACAATCCCGATCAATGATCGACGCGTGGCGGGACTTATCGAGTATATACCTATATATATATATATGTGAACAGTGATTTGTTTGTTTTTTTTTTTTAAATTAAGGACACCAAGGTCGTTGGTTTCGAGCCGTGGTATCCAAGAAGTCCTTGGTATCTACCTATAAACGGTGGACGATGCCGGCTAGTAGGGTTTCGATGCGTCCTTGGATCGTTTCAGTTGGACCTTCAGCCGTTTCATGCCGATCTGGAAGCCGTTCATCGCCTGAATCGCTGCTTGCGCGCTCGCCGCGTTGTCATATGACACAAAGCCTGCGAATCATTTGTGATGGTGCATGTTAAAATGTTGTTCCTTCGTTCATGAATTTTGTGATGTTGTTAAATTAGTCAGATTCTTTGTTTAATTTTGGCATTATTCTTTTTAACGTAGAAAGTGATAGCAAGTGTTTATTTTTACAATAAAATTTTTATACTGTTTGCGCTGAATTTTGGACAGTTGCTATTTCCAATACAATTTACCTAGATTGTTTTTTTTTTTAACGAATTTGCATACATTTGGAGAGTAGATCGACTCTTTGGAACGTTCCGCATATTAAAGTTAATTAGGGTATGATGTCAGAAAAATAAATACTTGGTGAGGTATTACACTTTATATACATTATATATATATATATAATCTTAACAATTTAGCATCATAGTATCTTATTAGATGCATCTAATATCGCCTCTGGTATTTATCAATATTCGTGCTTTTCACGTTGCGTTTCTTTTCGTTTGGCACACGTTTTACAACACGATCGCGAAGAATGATTATTTTTCAGCTGACCATGCTAGTTTATTATCCGATTTTCGTGAATTTCTCACAGGGAGAAATTAGCCTTTTACGTTCGACGTTTATCAAGTGTTAAGAATACGTATTATGCGTCTTACCGAAGCATTTACTTAGTTGCGTCTGTTTATCGATGAAAACCTTTGCGGAGATGACGTTCCCAAATGGCAGAAACGTGGAGACCAGGTCGGTATCGCTGAAATCTTGCGGTAGATGGTAGATAAACAGGTTGCAGCCTTCGGGACCTTCTATCTGCTTGTCCGTGCTGATGAATTTTGCCTTCTGGGCTGCCGCTGCAGCTGCCGCTGCTGCTGCCGTGAACGCTGGGAACCCTGTAAACAGAAAATTTGTCATTACCGATTCCTCAGTGTTCCATTCGATTCAGCTACGCGTTGCGGCTTCGCACCCCACGAGATTCACATTTAAGCGATCGCGATACTTTGGCTCAACTATGCTTTAAATTATCGAAGATGCAAAATTAGGTTACTGACTATTTCGCTTTTTTCTTTGGGTCATTCAAGGTAGAAGATATCTGATTAATTCAAGCTAAAGTAAAGTAAAGTAAGGTAAGGGCCATTTTTGATTTCAGTTATTGAAGATAGTATAAGAGAATAACTGTAAAGAATCATTATTATAAAAGTATTTCGATTGAAAGTCAATGTTCTTTTTAACTGAGATTTTTCATCAGCTGAGATTTATTTTTGTACAATTTAGTTTCACCGTCGTTCATTTTTTTCACAGATTAAACTGTTCGAGTGTCAATAATTTGTCGCATCTTCAATAATTTCTCGTTTAAATTTGACAATTTTATCAGTTTCAGTAACAGTGAATACAAGCGTTTGTTAGTTTCTTTTCTGCGTTTCAAACGAACAGCGCATCTTGTGAGTTGGAATTTGTATGTACAGCGGCGGCCATATTGCTTACGTGCAAGACGTTTATCAATTTGTGAATTTTGTTTATTTGTACAGAAAGATAATATTGTTATTGGAATTATTTTCACGGAACTTCAACAATTGCGTTGTGTGCACAGGTTTAAAGAGGTAACTATGCAAGTACTTACTATGTACGCAAGTGCTTACTACGTGACAGCAGAGAATGTTCGAACATCTTAAAAGAAAGCCGATACACGTCTTACAAAAAAAATTTCAAATTTCTCACAAAGTATCGATTTTCCTAACTCGTATCCTACTACTTTTGCACGCGGAAAATTTCGAAAAGTCGATCTAGATAAAAAAAAGGAAAATACAGTTCAACTTAAGAAAAAAGTGAAACCGTATGAAGGGTACACTTCAATTTTCTCTACTTTTAACCAAACACGAGATATTTAACCCTTTCCAACTGTTCAGACTCATTCTGTACGAAGTACTGCACGGTGCTCAGGAGTTTGCCCGCGGGGTAGCACAGGGGCAAATAAGGGCACACTTTGCCCGCAGCGCTTAAATTTCACGTCGCGCAATTTTAATTGGCCCGATTCGTTAGGCCAATAACGACAACACACACATCTTTTCTATCTTTATAATTGTGTCAGAAAAATTGGGCTAATGGAGATATTAGCCAAACAAACCCGCATTTCTTCCAAGGGCGAACTTCTGAGCTCTCCAACAAGTACTACACATTTCTACGGTTTAAAAATGATGTCTAAATATTGAATTTATCATAAATCGTACGTAAGCAGATGACCGTCTCTGTGGATTTCGACACTCGATCACGTGCAAATCGATCATGAAGAAAAACGTAGTTTCGCGTTACATCGCACAGCACTAAAAATAAGTTTCAGGCATTCCACTTCGTGTTAGTTACTCACTATGCAATTCTTTCTTATCCACGGTCACCGTCGTCTTTCCAATGAGAGCTTTAAGGCGCACAGTTACTCGTTAGAACAACACACTTTTACCAGCCATCGGTGCAAAGTGAAACAATACTGCTTTTGCCATTTTAATCATCAATATACACATCTTCTGATCAGAGAGAGAGAGAGAAAGAGAAACAAGCTTTCTTTTGTCAAATACGCCTGCTGCTTACCTGCGTACTGTTGCAAGCTGGAGTAAGCATTACTCAGGGAGTCCTGTAACCCATTTAAGGGAGTCCCCGTTAAGGAATTGAGCGCTAGGGACGTCACAGGACTGAGACTACCTCCGGTGGACCCTTTAAAATAAACAACGGACACGATTAATCCATACTTTTCTCCTGTTTTCTTCCATGAAATTTTCTACAATTGTGCCCAAGTAGACTAAAAGAAACAAATTAAACGTCGTTGAATTTTATATAACAGAAAGGACCGAATAATCCTGATCGACATGCCACATGCTCTCTGACATTAATACAGGGGTGTGGGGAGAAAAAAAAAATAGGGAAAATATAGCTTCGTTGCTGTTACAAGTATTATTATGCGTTGTTAATGGTATATGGGCACACGCGGGCGCGCATTAGCGACTAGAAGCGATTTGTACAACGCTATTTACACTAAGTTATATGTACAAGGTTTGTTTGTTTATTTGGTCGAGCAAAATATATTTTTGCATAATATACACGTTTCAACGTTTAAACGTTTTCTTAGCACGTCGTTAATTACAGAAAGCGATTATATTATATACAGGGTGTTCGTGTATCTTTGGTGTTAAATTGGAGGGATGATTTTTAGAAGCTGTTATCAGTCGACAATTAAAAGTGAAGAAATTGTGCTCGAGCTTTTTTCTGTAATTCGTTATCGACAATCGAAATTCCTTTTTCCCGAAGTAGGCTATTTTAGAGCGACGGTTAGGTCAGTGCCGATCACAATTTTGCCAACGTTTCACGATAAAAATCCCACGCGAATCGTAAAACGACATTAAACCAGCCCATTCGAAAAAATCCAGAAGGGCATGTCGACACGATGGAATTTTCTAGTAGAGAGAGAGTGAATGCCATTTTAATTACAAAATCTTCTCACAGATATCACACACGCACACACACGTTCTGTTCTGCCGCATGTGACCAGCAAAAACCCATGCAGCATGCATTACCAGAGTTCACTGAAACACTGGGCTCTCCCTGGCCGTGAGAGTCCAGAAAAATTGCGCAAATGTTGTTCCAATCTTTGAGAGATAGTAAGAAGTAATATCTTACAAGCATTTTTCTATATTACACGTGTGATGGAATTAAATTAAGCTGAACTGGCTGAATTGAAGTAAACTAAACGAAACTGAAAATTGACGCATGCTGTGCGGGTTTTTTTGCTGGTCACATGCGGCAGAACAGAGCAGTCGTGATGTCTGCGAGAAGATTTTCTAATTAAAAAGACATTTACTCTTTCTACTTGGAAATTCTCTTGTGGATTTTCAGAGTAGGTAGGTTTAACGACGTTTCGCGATTTATGTTGGATGTTTATCGCGAAATTTTTGGAAAACTGTGTCGGTGCGTGTGACAGTTTGCACTGTGGAAAATTGTATCTGAAAATCAGTTATATTAGGAGTAAGTTTTGATTGTTAATA